TTCTTTCTTTCTTTCTTTCTTTTATCAGAACAGGGATCGGATCTCACCAGGGAGCTGCAGTCCCGCCGGTAAAGGATCACCGGTTAAGTGTGAGTAATCTATAGGAAATCATGGGGCAACATATGAGTAAGAATGAAACATTGTTTGTATCATTATTAAAGAGAATGTTGGCGTCAAGAGGTTTTAAGGTAACAGATAAGGTTTTGAATGATTTTGTGGCCTTTTTAGTAAAAGTCAGTCCTTGGTTCCTAGAAATAGGGGAACTGAATCCCCCGGATTGGAAGCACGTAGGGAGGGAGATGCGACAATTCGCACAAAAGAATGGGGAACATACTCTTCCAGCACATGCCTTTCCTTTATGGTTACAACTTAGAGAGCTTATAGCTGAAACATCTGATTTTGAAGGATTGATCCAAGAAAAAGATTCTATCTCTAGCCATACTTATGATGAGGTCGCAGAAGAACTTTTAGCTTCAAAAGAGGGGAAACCCCCGGCTTATGGCACTGTCCCTGAACAGACAAAAAAAGGAGTCATAGCTGTAGCGTCAGCTCCTCCAGCTGAGTCAGAAGATGACAATGATGATTGGGACTTAGAGGAGGAGGCTGCAAAATATAATAATGATGAATATAGAGATCATGAGGGTGGTCACCTTCATTATCCAAAACTAACTTTTGCAGCCCCTCGATCAAAACATAAACCTAAGCATGCCGCATTACCCCCTATTGGGTTTCGCGGAGCAATGGCAGAGGCCCGAAAAACAGGGGACTTTTCCTTTGCTTTTCCAGTAGTTGATTTCGATGAGGAAGAGCCCATCTGGGAACCTCTGCCGTTCAAAGTTTTAAAAGAATTACAACAAGCTGTCAAATCCTCAGGGCCAACAGCACCCTATACTCTTCATGTTCTTGATACAGTAGCCAGTTCATGGCTTACTCCTTACGATTGGATGCAAACAGTCAAGGCAACATTGTCCCCAGGAGACTACATACTCTGGAGAACAGAGTATGAAGATCTCTGCAAAGAGTCAGTAGTGCAGTCAGTGAAAAGACGTGGTGGGATAAAACCTACCATTAACATGTTACAAGGAACAGGTGAATATGCAGAACCTAAATCACAAGTACACATACCAAGACCTGTGCTGGAAGAAATCACTAAAAATGCCGTTAGGGCATGGAGAAAATTGCCTCCCACGGGAGCCAAGGGTACAGCATTGGCCACTATTAAGCAAGGGCTAGAAAAAACATATCAAGATTTTGTTTCTCGACTGGAGGAAGCGATTAATAGAATGCTTCCACCATCAGAAGGGACTGATATTCTTTTAAAGCAATTAGCCTGGGAAAACGCCAACACTTTGTGTCAGGACTTAATTCTTCCTATAAGGAAAACAGGAAATATTCAGGATTATATAAAAGCCTGTATAGATGCCTCACCGGCAGTAGTCCAAGGAATGGCCTATGCCGCAGCAATGAAAGGACAGAAGTTCAGCGCCTATGTAAAAGAAACATATGGGAATAGCAATTCCCTCA